TGTTGGAAATACTTTTAAGGTCTTTGTAGATCTGAACGAATGAAAACGTCAATCATTTCACATACTTTAGGAAATATTTGATGGTCCGCATGTGCGTATACTGAGCTGGAATCAGTGGGAAGGATTCTTGCACTCTCATGCTCAACTTTGCTGTATTTTGCAAGAGATTTTCAATTTCAGGCTTCATTTTTCGCCATCGAAATTGAGCCAAAAAATTTCTTGAATTTTCTACAATCTATAATGATTTCCATAAATGAAATTTCGATATTGTGCTCGTAGGCCGGAAAGAGTTGTTTGTTTACAAACCACCCTATGAAAATTTACTATCAGTTGTGAAAAACGCGATCCAAATCGTTATCGAGTTATTAGCTAACATATATCCAGACAGACTTTCTATTTCATAAATAAAGAGGTTAAACGATCGGAAATTCGCACTATTATGAAGTATGAGTTCTTGCGTGGAACAAACGTACTCTAGTGTTAGTTGAACTAGGATGAATCTCTGAAACACATCCAAAAGCGTAATATTCCCCTCCCAAAAAGTGTTCAGTTCTCCAACGTAGGTGTTATAAAATATGAAACCTGGCTTATGGGTCACAATTGGAATATACTGCGACTAACTAAACAAAAAGTGCAAAAATTTAAAAAAAAAATAGCCTTGATTAGTCAACAAACCATGCATCTCCTATCTTAGAGCATGGCAATGCCAAGCGAAAACGACACACTACATAAATGACTATGGCAAAGTTGCAGGTTTTAGAACTTTATCATCCATTCTCACTAGATCTAGCCCCCATCGACTACTTTAATTTGGACAACTTTTAACAGGAAAACAATTCAATTCCGAAAATGTTGTTAAACTGGAATTAATTGACTCTTTCTTGCCGTTTGTCATTCCACTTGTCTGGACACTCTTAGCAAAATTGTAGCAATATGGGGCATGGCAAAAGTATAGCTAGAATATGAGTGCATAGTGTTAATGAAATAGTTTCTTATATCTGTAAGTTAACATTCCATTTCCTCTCCCCTAAGTATTTCATACTTTACGATCTACTAATACAAATAACAAATATTTGAAATACAAGTTAATAATATAAATGGAATTTATTGATTTCTTAAAAACATAAAATTGAAAAGCACAGTTGGAGAAAAAAATGAATCTTTATTCAGATGAGTATGCAGAGACGGGCGGACAGGAACACATGAGATTGGTATCACCGTATGCATCATCGATTCGACCTACGGTTGGCCACAGTTTGGTCTCAGGATGCACAAAGGCCTGAAACAAATTACAAATCATTTTAAAAACTGCAGGGATTGATCATTGAGCACAACCCTTATTAAACATGTAAAATGGCAACAAAAAAAAAAGTTTCCTTTTTTTTTTCGAAATTTAAAAAAAAAAGAATCCAAATCACTTATTGGAATATCTTTTTACTATTGAAATTAGTGGAAACATGCCATAAAATTATTAAGCATAAATAGGATGCGACCTCTTAAAGTCGGCTCCCTCATGAATCAGTCACAGGGTCATTGTATAGATCAAATTGATGCATGATACAATTCGATACCATGAATAAAACAATACAAGGTACTAAAAATTTCCGAATGGTTTTCAACGTTTCGTAAAGCGAAAGGTTTTGGAGAATCAAGCGATATGAAAATCAGTTACATGTATCTTTACGAGAATAATTTCCAAGTTGTCTGACGTACTTTTCTGCCACGATTTATGCTTACAACTTAGAAATATGTTTTTGTTAAATAATTAGAATATTGGTTTTGTAGATGTCATGAATTGCAGTTTTTTTTAAATATTTTATTTATTTATTTTTTTAAATAATGTGGTTTTGTATGTTCAAGTAAAAAGGCACATGATGATTATCACCACTGATATTATGCTCTTGCACTGATATTATGCTAAAAACGATGGTTCTTTTTTTGAAGCTAAATGTGACAAGAAAATGTTTTGTATTTTTTATCTTTTGTCGTTTGTTATGATAAATGATTTAATTCATATACAATGATGTCCCCATGCATATTTTAACATATAACAGCGATAGTTTCACTCTCCTAACTGCTAAATAGAAGCATATGTATGTTTTCATCATTCTTATAATTTGTTAATAGATTCTGGAACATTTACATAAACCCATTTAGTAATGGCCGGTTTAGTAAATTCTTTAATTTTATGTAACTTTACCGACTAAATTTTCAGAATGTCAATCATTGAATTTATCCGATGCACGTGAGTTTCATTATTATCGTGCTCTGTAAGCTCCGTTGTCTTGGGTCTTCAACTTAACGTTATATATATTTTGTTTTGCGTTATACTGTTAAACAGCTTTGGTTTCATGGATTTAGTTAATTCTTTTGGGTTAAAATTCAAAACTAATCCTTTTGCTCGGTTACCATGGCAACTTCACCTGCGATTTTGTTCTTTAGCATTCATATTTAACATTTGGTTTCTATTAATATTAATTACATGTTTTTCATCAAAGAGATTATTTAGTAATAGTGCAAAACGTTAATTCTCGATCATTGTTTNCATGTTTTTCATCAAAGAGATTATTTAGTAATAGTGCAAAACGTTAATTCTCGATCATTGTTTTCCAATTTTGTATTCATAATTTTATTTTCATTTGTTGACTCGACATAGTTTCACGCAAAGCTCATAATATAAAAAAAATTTTTTTGACTTATTGACTGTTTAGTCAGTTCTGTCAATCACATAGTTGTGAAACGATTACTAAGTTTGAGTACCAATTTAAGAATGTTTATTTTAAAAAGTTGCGTTATAAAATAATATCACAGGATTAAATAGAATAATAATGATAAAATGAAGAGTTAGCGTGTGTCTCCTGTACCGTGAAATTTAAACAGCGGGTAAAGGAGGGTAATTACCTAAAATTCGTTTCAAATCTCAATTAGATCACTCAGGAGAGACATTTGGAAAGTGGAATTTTTTGATAGGTCTAATATTAGCCATTGTTTTAAATTAAAGAACAGACGGTTTTATCTTTTATAATACTTGATGGAAAATTCTTACTTACTATAACATACGAATTTCATTTATGGAGACATGTTTATTTTGATTATAGTTATGCTTTTGACATATGTTTCTTTAAAATTAAATAATTTAAAATCTACGGTATTTGAAATTTAAAAAAAATCAAGTTGTTTATTAAAAAGTCAAATCTTAATTAATTAATCAAATAAATATCTAACTCATTATAATACTTGATGGAAAATTCTTACTTACTATAACATACGAATTTCATTTATGGAGACTAGTGTAACGTTTTTTAAAAAAAAAATCGAGTTTTATTTGAGAAGATATCAAAACCACATTTTTTAAATAAACTGCGGTTCATAACAAACAAGTGATCCAATTTATTTAAAAATGCATCAAAATTGCAAATAAAGTGAAGTTAAAAACATCATACCCAGAGATTAAAAAATATTAAAAAAATAAGATCAAGAATTAAATTTAATCTGAAAAAAAAATAGCTAAATAGTTTTAAAAGTATCCTTTGAAATTAGGTAATAATATAGGTGCACAATGAGTTTTGTAAGCTTTTGTATTCTAATAATTAGCATTAGAGTTGTCGAACAATATGCAAATAATTAAATGTCTTCACAGCTAAACTAGCATCTAAAGAATTTTTTGAATGTCTTGCTTTGGTAGCAAATTTCATCATTTAATTAATAGCATATAATATAATATAATAATTAAGCATATTTTAGCCCCCTTAGTTATGAAGAAGTATACACATACATGTATTAGATGGTTTTTTTTTAACATGGGGAAAAATTTTTTACCACGGCACATCCTTAAAAGGTGCCATTTGGTATAAAATTTATTTTTGAAAAGATTTATTAAAAAAGATTTATTACTAAATCTTATTTCAATGAAATAAGATTTAGACTCCGCCCCTGATTGACAAAGTTAGACAAATAAAACTGATATTTCTCCATAAATTGCGCATTTTTTGCTATAAAACCGAACGGATGATGGTAGAAACACAAATCTGAACTCAATATGTAGATAATGCTTTGAACTTCATCTTTTATAATTGAAACTTGTTTGTAAAGTGACTAGACTAAATGTTTTTTTGTAATCCTCTCGGTAAAATAACTTAAAAAAGTTAAATGGGATTAATTTAAATGAAATAAGGTATTACGATTTACTAATAATCCCTTTATTAATTCAAAAAGTAATCTTTTTTATTTCGAAAAGTTATTCGCTGTTTCCATATTAAGACAAAATGCAGTAATAATATCTGTAGTTGTAATTTTGAGAAAGGGTTACACTACTATGTCTTCTTGTCTAGTTTAATTGGCGAATATCTGCAGTGCAAAATATCTTGAAAAAAATGTGAAAAAAAGAGTAAAATTACAAATTGAACTTGAATGGATCAGCCAAAAGCGTAGGAATGGAATTTAAAAGTAATATCTTGATTGTCTGAATGTATTCGTTTCGGATAGTAGCAATAACAAAGCCTTTATAACTACTTGTGGTACATAAATTCTTAATTAATTGCTTTCTCTGGGGAGAAATTTTGAAAAAGAAATTAAAATGCCTTCAAAACTATTGTCAAGAGATGAACAAAAAATGTGTGAAGAATACAGTACTAGAATAGAATAATTGTACTAGAATACAGTACTAGAAAACTAGAATAATTATTTCTCTTGAACTTTTTTACTCCATTTTTCTATATGAAAAGTTTATAGCTTATGGTTCTATGTCTTGTATCGATGATTGAATTATTTGAAATAGAGTTTTTTTTTCCTTCATAATTTTTTCTATCTTGTTTAAAAAAGATATTATTCAAATCTTCTTACTTCTATTCACGATTGCTGAGAATTTTCCTTTCCTCTTAAAACATCAATTTTGCCTCGGCTGGAAAAACACATTTTATTCTTTAATCTGTTCGTCTGACGTTTCAAGTATAAAAGTTTCAGCTGAAAGCCATTATTTACAAAATAAGCTCAGATTTGTGTTTCTACAGCTCGCATTCCCTTTTTTTAGGGGGGGTGGGGGAGAAAAATCACGATTTTTTCAAGCTTTGTCGCTTGGGTATGGAGTCTAAACATTATTAATTATTTTTTTTTCTTAATGAAACGTTCAAAATATTAGTTTAATAGAAAATGACATTTTTTGATGATTATGCCGTCAAGAACTCTTTTTCTTTCTTATGATTACCCTTTTATTCTTATGATTATATATAAATATATATATATATATGTNTGATATATATATATATAAAGAGAGAGAGAGAGTAGAGTATACCGCTGGAAAAGCAGCCTGTTCTCTTGTATAGGGTCGAGTCCATTCAGTGGAGCAGATGACTTTTTGCGTATGAGGCGCCATCTGAAAAATAAAAAGAAAGATTTCAGATTATTTTCATGCGTTACCTCTTTTAAAGTGCAGGAAGTGACAAGCATCAGGTTTCCCAGATTTGAATCCCAGCGATAGCTGGTTGATGTGAATTCTGCTACCTGCTCGCACCGACCACAGTGCTCACATAAAATATGCGGAAAATATTCTACTCAAGGGTAGACGGATGAAGGATTCGAATTATCTTGCCATCGGGCTAACCGTTGGAGGTTTTAATGGTTTCCCTCCCCGTATAACTGAATTGAATTTCTACCACTTTTTACACTTTTAGTCGCTTGTGGCATCTCTGCCATGCACAAAAAGCGATCCATATATTAAAAACAACTATCTAAAAAAAAAGTGGTAGTACATATTAATTTATACCAAGTGGATAATTACTTCTGTTACTTACCATATTAAGTTTTAAAAAGTAATGTGCCTTACATCAGATCTAACAACAGACGTTTACACATATTATGGTAGGCCGAGTTACCTTATATTTTTGCAAAATTAGTCATACCAATAAAACTCTTATTACTACCACTTGTATGAAAAAAGCAACGGTCCTTTTAAAAAGACGCCGGACACAAATGGGTTAATGAAACATAACATTACTACAAAAGGCTACTTTTCATCCCCTTATCATTAAATTTGATTCTGGCTCTTACAAATTGCACATTTTTAAAAAGTAAATCACATGACCCATTTAACCCCAACTCAAATTACATATGACAGTTAAATACAGATGAACCGATAAATACTGCCGGCATAAAGCTGGTAGTTACAATCTGGTTGAATTTCATGAAACATTGGAAACCTTTATTCTTTCCCTTATTGTCTTGTATGACAAACTTTTGACATTAATAATGAGGCTAGTGTGTGTACAGTATATTGATACAGCTCCATTTTTTTTAAAATTACGTTTTTATTCGTTACATTTATTCTTGTAGAAATATAGTTTATGATTCGTTGAAGTGCTCATTCACAATAGAATACCTTTAATATATCCATCCCTATTTGAAATATTTTCGGAAATAAGCCCTTACTGAAAAATAAAACCTGAAATATTTGTGTAATAAATATATTTATTTAACTATTACGGTATTTGCCTTCGAATTGAATCATGAAGGCACTAAACTGTCATTGCAAGCAAAGAACTGGGTATCCAACCCTGGTAGCTGCTCGAAGGCCACCAGACATTTGTCTGAAAATGAATGGCGGCCAGTACATGATATTGACCATATTTCCACCATTATGCCGTTAGTCCTGAAACAGTGGCCCTGAGCTAGCTGTTGTGGGGTGAATGGTTACCCCCTCTGATAGGAGAGCATTTCGTTATATTCGTTTATGAACACTGTAACGAATCATTATGCGGATTAATTACATTATTAAGGGTATTTCTTTAATTTTAATAGAAGTGGTAAACATGAATTTTTAAAAATTCTTAATATTTCATTAGGGTTTGAGTCTAATGCGTAAATTAGGATCCAACCTATACAAATTATATGAAACTTACCTATATTCAGAAATATGGAAACTTTATATGAAATTCAGCTCCAGATAAACGAGTTCAACAAAAATTTGAAACAAAAGAAACTTTTTGAAAACTTACATAATTTTTTACAAAAATAATTACATTAAACATTAACATTCGACTAAGTTTATGTCAACGAAAACCTCCGGTATGAAATTAGAAATGTTAAGTAATTGTAAAAACAGCATACAAAATATAAACAGCAAGCATACACATTCTAAAAATCGAAAGCAATTACTTAGATTTTTCCGTTTTTACTAAATTTGTTACATATTCACCAACCAAGACTTCTAAGAAACTGTAGCAGTTTCGTGGATGGTTACGGAAAAATAAATAGAAAAGCCAAACCATTGTAACTTAAGCAAAATAAATAACAGATAAAATCGGGTCAGGAAATAGCAATGTTTTAGAAGATTACAAAAATCAGTTACACATATTCATTAACTTTAAAGGTCCCTTTTAGTGGGTAATAAAAAGATTTCGAGACCTGGAAATATAGCCCCAATACTGTAGCCCCCTTTTAATCCGGCACTGTGCATTTTAAAACAATGATAAAAAAAATTGAATTGTTGAAAAAGTCTCACCTTTAAGACGTTCATTTCAGTATCAGCCTTCCCAATTTCAATTTCTCGAATTTCTTCTCTGATATCTGTTTTAAACATATATAGAAAATAAATAGAGCTTCAATATACAATGGAGAAGTTATAACACTTTAGGAAGAAAAAAAAATAGAAAACAAACATACATAACTCAAGATGCATACAAATATAAAAAAATGTATTAATTTCATCCTGACTAGAGACACCTAAAACATTTCCGAAAAAAAATTCGGCCCTCCTTCCCATAGACTAGATAATAAAGTACACATGGCAATCGTTTCCCGTTTTTTTTTATATGGAAAAAATAACAAAATACTGAAGTTTTAAAACCGGAAATTGTTAAATATGGCGATTTGGTTGCTCCTCATTTGGTTGCGGAAATTTTTTTTCAATGACGACCATATATATTTCATAGGTAAATTAAACGATCATTTTTTGGGATTACAATTATTATGCATGTTATTATGTAAATGATGTGCACGTTACTGTGAATGACCGAAATCGGTGGAT